TTTTTATTCAGGTTTCTGATAAGGATATGTACATACACTCGAAAGAAATATTTTAATTGTTTGGTCTTTCAATTGCTTGGCGGTAATTTGTTGATGTTATTGTTCATCTTTAGCATTCTGTGAAAGTATAGTTCGAGACATGATGAACTCAAATCATAGGTTTAACTTAAACGCCACACTTTTAGAACGCGGCAGACGTATTAACTATCAAAGCATCAGATATCTTGTAACTTTGTGGATCTAGGTCGGTCGTAACGAGTTTTTTTAATAAATTAAGAGTAACAAACGAGCACACAGTCCACCTGATGGTAAGTGGATGCTGTAGCCTACAAGTATCTACATTCATCTTCGATTAAAATCAAAATGCAGATGCTTTGTCAACTCTGAGGACTAAGATGGAACGCCTCGTTTCTAGTAAAAGGGGGTCTCCGATTCTCTACATTCACCATACATGCATAAGTATAAAGCTGATATTTTAAGTTGGTATTCTATGTGAGTGTGGTCAATCCTTTAGTGCTACAACTGTAATATAGCTGCAGCGTGGTTACACGTATAAAAGTTGATTGTATCGCCTTCCATCGGAAGTTACAAGATGTCTCTGATCTTTCCATATTCGCCTCTTATAACATCTATTGGATGCATCCTCGTACATTATATTTGTGTTACATAAAAAAAAACTTTTATCCATGCAGGTGTTGGAACGTAATATGTGATGTCTTTAGTCACAGTAATAAAGTAAATGTAGCAAAAAATATTTACGCCGTGAGTTATATTTTGCTGTGGTCGTTTAGTAACTCTGGGAAGGGAAGCTTCTTCATAAAAAGTGTCATTATTTTTGTAGAATAAAAGCTCGGACGCTTAGATTTTACGACGCAAATATACCATCCACTAGGTATTTAGACAATCTTCTTCAAGAGATTGAGCGAATAGGAGTGATTTATCTTGATTTATTTTATTTAAAGAATATTATGCTTTGTTCTAAAAAAAAATTGACTTCTAATACAGAACCGGGTTCGAGGTTAGTAAGATAGATATGTATTGTACACGACGGACAATAGTAGCTGCCCAATATAGACAAGCTCTGTGTGACGAAGTATAGACCAAGTCTGTGAAAAGCAACTATCCGGCAACTAACTAAACGATGTATTATATATACGAGGCTTAGTATCATATCATTATTTAGACTTTAGTATTCATAGATACTTAATACACATACATCCTCAAAAACTTAGCGCGAGATGTCAGATTTCTTAATAGTCCTGCCAAATAAGTCTTCTTAACATATTGGTAAATATTACGTTTTCCTTACCTAATTCTATATTATAAGCAATTTTTCTCGAAAAGTTTAACTACACATAATATAAACTAAAAACTAAGAATAATAATACCTACTATACTATTACAGATGAAACCCCAAACACATATACGTGCACAATGTAAAGTATGATAGGATTGGAGGCACTATCAGACACACAGAAAATCACAACTAGGGTTATATTAGTGATTTGTACAACATTTTTGCTCCGGTTGAAATACGAACGTAGGAATCGTGATCTTAAGTTCTACATCGTTCCTATAACATAAGTAACCACATAAAAATAAAAATAAATAGAGTAAATTTAATACCGCAAGCTATATGAGACATTGTGCCGCCACAGCCATTAGATAAAAACAACAACTATTTCTCAAGCAGCTGCTTGTAGTTTCACCGAGAAACCGCAACCTGGAACTAGTAATGCAACAAGCGATTTATGGCTTGACAGCTAAGAATATTAGATCGGTAAACATGAACGATAGGTTGTTTCGTATCAGACCTGTTCTATCTTAGCTTTAAACAATATAATAAATTCCAATAGCGCTATCCACTTAACATCGGTCGTGATAGTTAATCAATGTAGGAATAAGGATGTGGCTTTGAAATTCGCGATTCGGTCGTATTAAAATACGGAAAACATATATTATCTGAAGTAGCATTTTCTTTACAATTAATAAAAAAATACATTTAATAGTGTTTTCATGGGTATTTATACCTAGTCAGGTCATAAGTATTGTCACACAGGAAAAGTTTACTTTTGTCTGGCCACAAAGTTTAGAATTGAATTCGAATTGTTCTGAAAATTGTTCTTTTTTAGAATTTTCTCATTTTTAATTGAGTGGATGCTTAAAGAGAGGCTATTGCGTTGCATCGTTGCGGTTACGCGCTAATTAAAATTTTTGTCATACTGAAAAATTTGAATATAACCAAAAGATTCGTTTATCGTACCATCAAACGATACAATGAAGACTCTAGTGTAGATGACAGGTCAAAAAGTGGTCGCCATTGGTCTGTTAGGACTCCAGCAGTGATAAAAGCTGTGAAGGCGCGAATTCAAAGAAATCCCAAACGAAAGCAGAAAGTGTTGGCCCTTCAGATGGGGTTAAGCAGAACCACGGTGAAAAGGGTGTTAAATGAAGACTTAGGGCTTTGGGCATATTGAAGAAAAACAGAATATCGTTTGAATGCTCGTCTAATGGATCTGAGACTGAAGAGATGCCGCGCTTTGTTGAAGCGGTACGCTAGAAAAAAATATCGGGAAATACTTTTTTCGGATGAAATTTTTTTTACCGTAGAAGAGAGCTACAACAAACAAAATACGCGCAGATTGAAGGCCTGTATTCAAAATCACGGAGTTCATTTTGAATTAACTTTAGTGTTATAAGAATCTATGTTTTGTTACGTTCATTTTGGTATATAAATGGTTACATAATGAATAAGCTTGTGTCAATTATTTTATATTAAATATGTGACAGAATTTATGACCTGACTAGGTACATATTATAATAATTTAAAAGATGTTTTGGTATATCATTGGGGCATATGATATCACAAAACATAAAACTTAATATTTTTATTAACGATTTCTTATATTTTAAATTCAGAAAATATTTTTTACCTAGTGTGGGTTTACATAGTGCAGTACCGTAAGTATATACCCGCCAACGGAGTATGTATATCCGTAGCGTGTATTCGATTGGCATTTTCTTACAAGTCCTTTTGTTTGTTTTTATAGGACAGGTCATATTTATAATCTAGCTCTTATTTTATTTCTCTTCTTAAAAAAGGATATTAACAATGCTATAAACATTACTAAATTTCCCCTTAGCCACTCGTGGTAAGCTTAAATTGCTTGTGTTACGTGTGGTTCACGCCAGTAGTCGAATGGCGGATTTGAACTCACGACCTTTTTCAGTTCGCGGTCCGCGTCCTGAAATTAGGCTACTGTCGCTTAAAGTCGCTTAGCTTGTAAATAACTGCATCTTGTAAATGGATAATTTAATTCTGACACATGGTAACCACTAACAAATCTTCTTCGGCGCCTTGTTTTAATTTTTTAATTTAAAATGTTTTAATTGAAGCTTTCTTCTTTCTATTTCTTGGTATTTGGCATTCTCTTCAGCATCCATGTCCACGGAGAACTATGTTGTTTGACTTCCTTCCCTTTCAACTTTTTATTTTTATTTTTTGTCCGTTATTGTTTCGTCTTGAAGTCTTGCAATGGTTTGCTTGGGCTTGCTTTCAATTTTATTAAATATAATATTTCAAACAGATGGTGAAACCTAATTATCATTTTTTCTAAGATTAGAATTACACCCTTGGTAGAAATTGCTACTTTTTTCAATTTACATACTTTTCTTTATGTCGATGATGAATACGTTTGTATACTGCAGACTTCCCAGTTAGTTCTTCCCATGCATCACTGTGTAATATCCTTCTACTAGACGCAGGAGTGTACAAGCTTAATTTTAAATGTAGTCTGATACTTTCTCTCATATAGGCCAAACAAAAGTATCTATAGGAACCCGCGTAAAGGAAGCTGACGTCAAACACTACAAATCCTTCCATAAGAACATTGATTCCTACCAAGGATAATACAGATACAGGCTTTTGAAAGTGAAAAAAAATCCAAATTTCAATAAAAAGAAATACTACCTGCTTTGACCCTTAATTCATAATATCAAATCCAAACCCAAGTATACCACAAGACTTTAAAATAAAGTAATCTCGTGATACGAAGAGCAAATCAAAATAATTAATTAAACGTTTGTTTATATATAGTCACAGTGGCTATGGGTGCTGGAAGTATTCGAGACGTCGGGATTAAAAAATAAGTGTAATTAAACGTGATAAAATCAGTCTACCCCTCTGGTCAAGAATTTAAATTATGTTGTTGCATTGAGCTATTATGTACTACGTACTAGAGGCGACAATGTATTCAACTACATTGTTCCACTCAACTGCGGTGCATACCCCGAACTTTAATCAGTCACTCGCTAGGCGCTTGTAGAGTCGTCACGTGTTGTGCTGATTTAAAAAAATCTCTGGATAATAAATATGCCGTCGTTTGTACTTAGATATTGCACAAATAATTCAAGAAATGTCAGTAAAAGCCAAGGAATTACTTTTCATCGGTTAATAAGATACTAAATCAATAAAAAAAGTATTAAAGATTAATAATAAAACAAATTATTTGCCCTTCCTTCCGTGATTTCGCCGAGAGCGGACGTGTGCGAGCGCGTGTGTCAATAAGGCTCAAAATAGCTAAAAATTATCAATAATATTAAGAACATTTGACTACTCAACACCAGCGATCGGCTGCGGTGGGGAACGTGCGAGTGAGATAATAGACTTAATAATTGCCTTCTCGTTCCTGCATCGCATCTTTGCTCACTGACGCAGTAAGCGGTGCCAAAAGAAGACGGATGGTGCTTGTTTTTCATCTCTTTCGTCCCTGCATGATCGTTGTAACTACGTCAACCGCCGTAGCCACAACTACTACGTTTGCTACTAAATACATGCTACGAGACTACGACATTAATTGAAGCATACCTACCACCAGCCATCACACTTACTACAAGTGTCGCCGTAACTCTCGACTATAAAAAAAAAAAAATAACTTATCAATTTGTTCCACACTTCGTTGAGCTGAAAATAAGTTTGAGGCCGTACGAGAACTCTGAAAATGTTTCGAACACCGGAAAAATGCAATTCTGATTCCAACCTGCCTAGGGTCCCCGATGACAAAGAAACATCGCCTCCCAGTTTTGTCAGCTCACGAATTAAGAGAAAGCGCTCCGAAGAAATTCTGACCGATTTAGCGGACTTTAAGGCAGAAATGAAAGAAATGATTACTTCATGGATGGATCAGCAAAACAGCGAAAGAACAGAAATAACATCTGCGTTGAGATCCATAGAGGAATCACTGTCCTTTCTCTCAACCAAATACGACGACATGTGTAAAAAAGTGGACCTTATGGAGCAAGAGAGGCACAAACAGAAGGAATATATTACTATACTTGAAAATAAAGTGGAAAATCTCATGAAAGCCCAACGTAAATATTCATTTGAACTGAAAAATGTCCCAAGATCGGAAAAGGAATCCAAAGAAACGTTGTTGAACATGGTAAGCAACTTATTTACATCACTTAAGGTCAATATACAAAGTAATGACATTAAGGATATATATAGGACGACCATAAAGGGCGATAAAAAGCCTATTGTTGTCGAAATGTCAACTTATGCCCAGAAAATGAACATTACGAGCGCCGCTAAAATGTACAATAACCAAAATAAGAATAATAAATTAAATACCCAGAACCTAGGTCTAAAGGGAACATGTACCCCTATTTTTATCTCTGACCATCTCACACCTAATGGTAATAAACTATACTACTTAGCGAGGGAATTGTCAAAAAATCTGAAGTATAAATATTGCTGGACCTCGGTAGGTGAAGTTTTAATGCGGAAAGACGATTCATCCCCGATCATAAAAATTATGAATGAAGCACAAATAAAAGGTATTTATGAGGCCAACAAATGACTATGCATGAACAGTGTATTTAGTTTCAAGTGGATCCATGTCTTACAAAGTGTTCATGCAATTATTACAGGTCATATAGTTAAATTTTTTCGTTGTATGTTGCACCTATGTTCTGTTAACTCTGTTTTTGCCAGTTATTCATTCATAACCTACACGCTTTTCTTATCACACACTTACCTTAATACTTACTCCATCACACCAACACATATTACACTCACACACTTCTCTATAAAAGTTCTGTTTTTACTAGCTAAACATAATACCTTGCAGTTACACTGTGGATTGATTGCAATTATTAACTTTGATCTGAGAGTCTGGAATAACCAATGCAGGAATATTATTTTTCACTTTTATTCTTTCGTGGTAATCATCTACCTACAACTCCTTTATACAAATGATATTAAATTAATATCTGTTAGACTAATTCACAACACACATAAAAACTACTTAATTTTTTATGGATAATTTGTCCCATCCGTATAATGATATAGAAAATATTAGTATAGCTCAGGCCGTCACTTGCGCGCCTGAAGAGTGTTATTTACACATCTCAACAAAAAGTCACCTAACCATTCTCACCCAAAATATAAGGAGTATATACAAAAATCTTGATATTTTTCAAGCTATGCTCCACTCAACTAAAACCGATTGCGACGTACTAGTTATGACTGAATGTCATCTCTCAAAAATAAAAAGTATTCCCAAACTAAATGAAAATTATAACACACACTTTACAAAAAATACCTTAAACCAATGTGTTGGCGTAGTATTTTATGTAAAAAATAATCTAAGCTTCAATGTATTTGAACCGAACATTACAAACGCGTCCTGCCTTGCATTGACTCTTTACGATACTGTTATAATCGGCATTTATCGCACTCCATCTATTAGAAATACTGACGAATTCGTATCATCCCTTCAATCTCTTCTCATACAGTATAATTGCTATCCGAATATGATTATAACGGGTGACATAAACATCGACATCAAAATCCACTCCAAAGATCCAAACTGTCATAACTATTTAACATCACTCGCTTATTATGGGATACTCCCAGCTCACAGGCTCCCAACACGTGATAAAATGTGCTATGATCACATGATGCTCAAAACGTCTCACCCTGCTAAATCACTTGTTCTTACTAACCCTACCACTGACCACAGTACAGTCATTCTTGACGTGATGTTTGAACCTCTGCGACGCAATCTGGCTCCAAAAACAAAAATCTCAATAAATTTTGATGCCACTTTGAATGACATTAAGGCGGACTTACCTGATATATTAACAATAACAGACCCTTCTGAAGCTGCCCAGGTTTTGGTTAATAAAATCTCCACTGCGATTAAAAACAACCAAACTATAAAAAGTGTCCCTTCAAGAAAGATACTTATCAAGCCCTGGATAACCCCAGGAGTTTTACGTTGCCTTCGCAATCGCGACAAACTTCATCTTAAACTAAAAAAGAATCCGTATAATGAAATCTTGAGAGTAACCTATACACGTTATAGAAATTATTGTAGTAAACTTGTTCGAAAACTTAAAATAATGCACGAAAGAAACAATTTAACTAGGGCTAATAAAAATCCTAAATTACTGTGGAAAACTATAAAATCTATATGTAACATAAACAATAATAAAAATGACCACATATATAACCTACTCTCACTTAAATCCACACCGTTGGAAGTTGCAAATTTTGCTAATAATTACTTCTCTAACTTAGGTAAACGTCTGGCTGAAAACTTATTACCGTCCCCTATGTCTTATAATTCTATTCATGGCATAAATAACATTAAATGTCCCTCTTCATGCAATTCCTTTGTTCTTTTAGCAACAGATACAGCAGAAATTAACACAATCATCTGTAACTTATCTAACGACTCCGCCCCCCGGGTGGGATAACATCCCTACTGCTTTTATTAAAATGGCCAAAAATTATCTCACTCCTGTCCTTTGTCACGTGTATAACCTCTGTTTCGAAAAAGGCTGCTTCCCCTCTGTTTTCAAAAAAGCTATTGTTACACCCATCTATAAAAGTGGAAATAAAGATGAAATCGAAAACTATAGGCCTATCTCTGTACTTCCAGTTCTGGCAAAAATTTTGGAAAAGCTTATTAACAACCGCATTAACAAATTCCTTTACAAAAACAGCTTGCTATCAGATAATCAATTTGGCTTCAGAAATGGCGTCTCCACTGAAGACGCAGTTCTGGCACTTTCCGACACTATCTGTAAGCACCTAGATGCAGGCTATAAATGTGTCGGCGTCTTCCTGGATCTTGCAAAGGCGTTCGACTCTGTTTCAATTCCAACATTATTACATAAACTATATCACATTGGCATAAGAGGGACACCCCATAAACTATTCACAGACTACCTAACGAATCGCCTACAGCATCTAAAACTTGGTGACGTTATCAGCCAGTCATCTCCCATTACTTACGGCGTTCCTCAAGGCAGTGTACTCGGCCCGACATTGTTTTTGATATACGTGAATGACCTCTGTAGCCTCAAACTTCCCAATTGCGATATATTTACTTATGCGGATGATACCGCGCTGATCTTCAGTGAAAAGAGTTGGGATTCTCTTAGAATTACGACTGAATCAGGATTACGACATATATCAAATTACTTAAGATCACATCTATTAACACTTAATGTATTAAAAACCCAATTTGTTCCTTTTACGATACGAAAATCTACCTTACCACGCTCGGACTTTGCTCTCAAAATTCATAGCTGCTCCCAACACCAGGTGAAAAGCTGTCAATGTGTTGATATTGCTAGATCGTCTACTATTAAATATCTGGGTATCACTATTGACCAGCATCTTATATGGAACAAACAAATTGAGTGTACCATCGACAAGGTAAGAAAGCTTATGTGGGTTTTTAGAAGGCTCAGACATGTCGCAGATAATAAAATCCTTATATGTACGTATAAAGCTCTAGCCCAATCTGTCTTAAGCTACTGCATTACAGCTTGGAGTGGAGCATCTAAGTCCTATTTAATAACTCTTGAAAGGGCTCAGAGAGCATTACTGAAAGTGATGTTCTTTAAACCAATCCGTTTCTCAACTCACGAACTACACAAATCTTACAAAATCTTAACAACCCGCCAAATGTACATCTTAAAGAGTGCTATAAGAACCCACAGCACTTTACCATACACTGCCCCCCAGACACTAAAACGTAGAATTCTACCTGTTTTCAAGATTCCATATTGTAAAACCAAATTTAAGAAAAAACAATTCGCCTATCAATCAAAACATCTATATAATAAATTAAATAGTAGGCTTATTATGTATCCCCTCACTTGTGCTAAATTAAAAAATTTGCTAACAACTACTCTGCTTAGCCTTAATTACGAAGAAACAGAACTGCTTATTCGCTAAACTCACACACACACACACACACACACACACACACACACAAACGCTTACACACACACACACACACACACACACACACACACACACACGCACACTTTCACTCTTTCTTAAGTATCAAAAATCTCATCAATTCATGTCTATGTAATATCCTATGTTTCAAATTGTTAAAATGTATCTGTTGGAAGAGCGGGGTACCCCGTAACACAGGTTTAACAACCCAGTACAGGGGCCCTTGCCACTTGTTTGTTACTACCTTTTGAAACGCAATAAACAATTTTTAATTTTTAATTTTTTTTTTAATTATTCCTAAGACGCCATCTCGTGTCACCGAATATAGATTATGAAATTATCATGTTCAGATGCGACATTTCTGTGGGTACTTAAGTAAAGGACTAATATTTAGATTTATTTAGATTTAGATTAATATTTTGTAGAAACATATATAAGTTATTATTATTAGGCTAATTTTTCATGTTTAAATCTGCTTATTATTCTTTTATTTTATTTTAGTGATTTGTGCCCAAAGGTTTCCTCATCAAAGTCAAAGTGGAATAAATTCGTCCATTTTTAACTTTCGCCTGCCCAGCATTTATGAACGACTCTTATTCTAATTTAAATAAATATATTTGTAATTTAAATGTTATGTTAATAAGTTTAGTTAAACATACATTTAGTATGTTTTTTATATTTGACATTATACCTTTTAAAATATTCGGATAAAAATATAATTAAAATGTAATTGTGATATAATGTTACGTAATATTATATTAAATAAGAAAATATAACATACAAAATAAATGACAAAATTTAAGTATTGTTAATTTAAATATAATTTACCTATTTAACAATACAATCTATACATACGGATCATTCTATCTATGTTTATTCTATGATACACATTTTTTGTTTGAGATAGCTGTTCTAGTACGTAAGTACATGTTACTTCAATGTGTTGTTGTATCATTTTATGCCACAACACAGTCAGATTCTTTAATTTGGTATAAATTTACTTATGCATGTTTTATACCTATATACGTTTGTTTTTATCAGGTCGAAAAACACTAGTTCGTACTAGCGAAAATGTTAAAAGCTGTATCGCCTAGGTTAATGAACTTAACATATGAAAAGTACTGAAGTATACAAAAATCATCCCGCTAGTTTATTGTTGTGATATTATAAATATCTATACTTAATTAAAATTAATCGCATATCTTATGGCCCGCACCGAAAACCACGGTCGCAAGCGTACATGCGGAGTGAGGGACGTTATCACGTTCCGTGTGTCCCAACGGAGGGGGCTGAACGAACAGGGGTCGGAGGGCGACAGGTCCAACTAATGATGGTAGGTTACAGCTATTTTTCTAGTTTAAGAGCGCTCTTTGGTACAGGGTTCTGATGATTTCGTTCTAAGAAATATTATAAGGTATTTTTTGTAAAAAAAAACTTAATATTTTTTGAAGTTTGTTGTATTTTTTTAAAAGATTTTTTTTTGTATGTAGTAGCGGCGTAAGTGAATATCATTATCGCATATCATCCCGCGTGTATTATAAGAGGCAACAAAGGGAAATGCCGTTCAGTTCCGCGGCTTCAAACGGAAGGCTAAATTTGTTTCTAGCTCTCTCGCTCTCTTTAAAGGGATACAATATTTCATGCAAATTCACGATACCATTCACACCATCAAGTTGCTTAGTGGTCCACCACTGCTCTATTTACCAGAAGTATCCTTCCTCACACGATTTCTTTAAGGAATCAGCTACCACCAGCAATTTTTCAGACCGTTACAACCTAGAGAAAGAACTTTTAAGAAAGTAATCTAGTGCTTTTAAAAGGCCGACATCGCTTAAAAACCTGCGATTCCTTTGGTGTTGCAGTTGTTCATGGGTGGAGAGGTCACTTACAATCAGGTGTATCAAATGTTCGTTTGCCCCCTCTTCTACAAAAATTTCTGATAACTGAAAAAAATAAAAAATGCGGTTTTCTACCAAGCATAACAACGTTCAAGATTTATTTAGCAACCATAATATTATTGCTAAAAATCTAATTAATACTTAAATTTGAATTTTAGTATAAATACTGTAGTTTGAAACAAACTATGAACGAAATGGGTTAAGCTTATCACGGCTGGCTGATCATAAAATTTAATATAGCTTGGAAAACAAATCGAAGTTTTTTTTAAAGTAATTTAATATAAATAACTTAATATAATCTTATTAAAACGTACCTACTGTTAATAAGATTATATTACATTAACAGTAAAAAAAATTACTAATGATTCTTTTGATTTCGATAACTAATTCGCTTTAAAATAAGTCAGGAGTCTCATCGTGTGCCTCTGTGTTGATTCATTGAGTTTGTATAAAATTACTATTAATACTTTGCAAAACCGACGTTATACGTAATGCTTATGTGACGAAAGTTGACGATGCAGTACTAAAACACGAAGACAATAAAAAAACAACGTTATATAATATATCTAAGAGTAAACATCCACTAACGAATTTCTAATATTCACAACATTTTTGTAAGGGAATCTAGATTCAAGTGTATATCTGCTATAATCTTCATTCAACAAGCAGATCAGTTTGTCTCCGATTATTGTAAAAAATCAGAGCCCTATTTTCAGCAATGGACTTATAATAACGCTGTAACGGTAATAGTAACGGTGAAGGCAAATGCAAAGGAAACAAACGACCTTTAAGGGCTTATGACAAAAAAGGCTAGCACGTGTATTACACTCTTAAATTTACCGTACTTTCGTAAATAGTAAAGTATCGTTTGTATGTTGATATATTGAAGAATTTGTTGGCAGAATTGCTGGAAGACTTAAGCACTGTGCTCAGTGACCTCAATAGTGCCTCCCAACGGATAGGTCTTAAGTTGAACATGGACGAAACAAAGATCATGTTTAATGTCCATGTCACACCTATGCCGGTAGTTGCTGGGAGCACTAAGCTCGAAGTCGTTGACGAGTACGTTTACCTGGGACAAATAGTCCAACTAGGTAAGTTCAACTTCGACCGAGAGGTCAATCGACGGATTCAATTCGGATGAGCAGCGTTCGGGAAATTACGACACATCTTCTCGTCAGGTATACCTCAAAACCTGTAAACTAAGTTGTACAACCAGTGCGTGTTGCCAGTGATGACCTACGGAACTGAGACGTGGTCCTTCACTGCTGGCCGTATGAGGACGCTCAAAGTCGCTCAGTGAGCTATAGAGAGGGCTATGATCGGGGTTTCTCTGCGTGATAAACTTAGAAATGAAGATATCCGCAGTAGAACCAGAGTGACCGACATAGCCCAACGGATTAGTAAGCTGAATTGGCAATGGGCCCACCAGCACACACAAACACACAACACAGAAGGCAGCCTCGTACCGGTAGGCGAAGTGTAGGGCGACCCGCCACTAGATGGAGTGACGACCTGGTAAGACATGCAAGAAGTCGATGGATGCAGGTGGCTCAGGTCCATGCATTGTGGCATACCTTGGGGGAGGCCTATGTTCAGCAGTGGACTTGTGAAGGGCTGTAATGATGGTGATGAATCCTTTACAGATGCCGATACAGTCAAGAGCTACAATATTTTTCCAACATACCGGGATTAAATACATTTTTACACCCCTACGATGCGATTATTAGCTACGTAAATTATGTAAAAAGGTTAAGTAAATTAAATTAATATAAATAAAAATTTGCACTTGATGCGTGATATTGTTTGCTCATAAAAAATAAAAATTTGAAGAGGCAAGTCTGCAAACAATAATTTTTCCAAAATATTTTTTATGTAGTTAGAATGATAGTGCGGGGGTACACGGGTGTCCGACCGCGACTTTCTCAGATAGGTACGATAAACTCCTTGCAGTTCTTCCACCTTTATATTCCCTATTCCTACTACATCCTGCGCGCTTTAATCTCATATATTCCAGCCTTTTTCGTTATTTTCCTTTCCTTCAATTTATGTATGTATCCGAACCGTACCATGCTTAAACGGGTGACTATTTGCTTATAAATATATTTATACCTTCCTGACTTTCTTTAACATATTAGCATACTGCAGACTTCCTTGGTAATATGTTCAGGATTGTGCCAATCATTAAATCAGATTTCGAAAAAAAATGAAGTAAGTAAGCAAAAGAATACCGATTCTTACTAAAAGGTGTTTAACGAGGCTATTGAAATTAAAAAAAACATCCTAATTTCAATAGAGAAAATAGCTGGATGCTGTCATCTGTTTGAGATCACATAATTAATAAAATTAGATCTAAATCCTATTACTTTTTTATATTATTTTTGTTTATTATTTCATTTTATTCCATAGATTATTCTTTACATCGGCTTATGAGAGAGAATAGAGAGTGAAATAAGTCCTGTATCTGATCTCCTAGGGTCGGGTCGGATTGGCGTCTCTAAAATACTGATTTAAGGTCACTGATTTCAATCAATCAATGTTCTCAATGATGAACTATGGGACTGAGGCGTGGTCTTTTACTGGTAGACCAATAGGGAAGCTCAAAATTACCTATTTTTCCATGACTATGCAAAAACACATGTTCAGAAAAAACCGTTACAAAAATAATCGCAGTATAACTACCGTAACCGACCTGATGCAACTATTTAGTAAGCATGGGCCGGTAACATTATTCGAAGAACCGACAACAGACAACCCGCAAGTGCATTGTAGGACGACATTTCATTAAATGGAGTAACATATTAATAAGACGTGCAGGGGTCGACGGGTGTTGGTTCTTCAGGACCGTTTTGGGTAGTATTTGATGGACGCCTATTCGAAAATGTGATGAGATATAATGATGAATTTAAAAGCAGCCTGTTGACGCTCGTGTGTGTGTGTGTGTGTGTGTGTGTGTGTGTGTGTGTGTGTGTGTGTGTGTGTGTGTGTGTGTGTGTGTGTGTGTGTGTGTGTGTGTGTGTGTGTGTGTGTGTGTGTGTGTGTGTGTGTGTGTGTGTGTGTGTGTGTGTGTGTGTGTGTGTGTGTGTGTGTGTGTGTGTGTGTGTGTGTGTGTGCGTGTGCGTGTGCGTGTGTGTGTGTGTGCGTGTGTGTGTGTGTGTGTGTGTGTGTGTGTGTGTGTGTGTGTGTGTGTGTGTGTGTGTGTGTGTGTGTGTGTGTGTGTGTGTGTGTGTGTGTGTGTGTGTGTGTGTGTGTGTGTGTGTGTGTGTGTGTGTGTGTGTGTGTGTGTGTGTGTGTGTGTGTGTGTGTGTGTGTGTGTGTGTGTGTGTGTGTGTGTGTGTGTGTGTGTGTGTGTGTGTGTGTGTGTGTGTGTGTGTGTGTGTGTGTGTGTGTGTGTGTGTGTGTGTGTGTGTGTGTGTGTGTGTGTGTGTGTGTGTGTGTGTGTGTGTGTGTGTGTGTGTGTGTGTGTGTGTGTGTGTGTGTGTGTGTGTGTGTGTGTGTGTGTGTGTGTGTGTGTGTGTGTGTGTGTGTGTGTGTGTGTGTGTGTGTGTGTGTGTGTGTGTGTGTGTGTGTGTGTGTGTGTGTGTGTGTGTGTGTGTGTGTGTGTGTGTGTGTGTGTGTGTGTGTGTGTGTGTGTGTGTGTGTGTGTGTGTGTGTGTGTGTGTGTGTGTGTGTGTGTGTGTGTGTGTGTGTGTGTGTGTGTGTGTGTGTGTGTGTGTGTGTGTGTGTGTGTGTGTGTGTGTGTGTGTGTGTGTGTGTGTGTGTGTGTGTGTGTGTGTGTGTGTGTGTGTGTGTGTGTGTGTGTGTGTGTGTGTGTGTGTGTGTGTGTGTGTGTGTGTGTGTGTGTGTGTGTGTGTGTGTGTGTGTGTGTGTGTGTGTGTGTGTGTGTGTGTGTGTGTGTGTGTGTGTGTGTGTGTGTGTGTGTGTGTGTGTGTGTGTGTGTGTGTGTGTGTGTGTGTGTGTGTGTGTGTGTGTGTGTGTGTGTGTGTGTGTGTGTGTGTGTGTGTGTGTGTGTGTGTGTGTGTGTGTGTGTGTGTGTGTGTGTGTGTGTGTGTGTGTGTGTGTGTGTGTGTGTGTGTGTGTGTGTGTGTGTGTGTGTGTGTGTGTGTGTGTGTGTGTGTGTGTGTGTGTGTGTGTGTGTGTGTGTGTGTGTGTGTGTGT